ATCAGCAATTTTACTTTTATTAATGGTGGTATTTCTAGTTTTTTGGATTCTCCTTATTTAATTCAATTTCTAATTCAGAGTTATTAACGCTTTTTACTATTGCTTTATTATTTTTTCCTTTGAACCAGCAATTTTCCTCAGGATGAAAGCGTTTTCCTCTTTTCTCAGTTATACAGATCTGGCATGGTTTTTTTTCTTCAGTTTTATCTGTTTTTGAATCAGAATATGTGTTTTGTTTCTTATCATATCTATTCTTCCTTACAAGATGTTCCAATTTTCCTAACTCATTGTAGAGATCTTCAGTTTCTTGTATAGTCTCTCTGTCAATCTTATCAGTAAGATAGTTTGGCAGACCTGATGCTATAAGGTCAATTAGTGTCCCAGTATCGATCGACTTCCTGACTTCTAATAATAATTTTTCTTTTTTTAAGGCATACTCGAGCAAAGAACCCGTTTGATACTTAAATGCAAGAGCGTACCTGATAGGCGACCAACCTTTATTCCCAAATGTATCACAAAAACTCTTTTCCCATTTATTCCACTCTGATTCAATAGTAATTTTCATTAACGTACAACTGTACCAATCAATACTGGAATGTTCCAAAAAATTTTTTAATATTTCAATTTTTTTCTTATCTTCTTCAATATTGAAACGTTTACATTCTTTATTGAAATCCTTAATCCATTGGTGAGCATTCGCATTTTTACCAGTGAATTTTTCAATCATAAAATTCTTTGAAATTTTCCCTACATTCAGAGTTTCACTTTCTCTTTGTTTTTCTTCAAGTAATTTCTCTAATAGTTTTTCTAGGTTTTGATTTGAGACACTGGGCAAAGATTTATAATCATTCATGTTTTCCTTTGTTTCTTCCAAATAAAAATCATTAAATTGTAAATTTTGTTCTTCGTCCAAATATATTTTTGATATCTCATCTGTAAGGGTTATCCATATTTTTCTTGTTTGGTGTCTTTTAGTCAACGTTTTTTTTATTTTGGTATAATTTGAAGTTGATGTAATTACTTGGTGTAAATTTGCAGGTTGGTATTCAGTTGGTATACCAAACAACTGTCCATTAGCTGTGCCTATTAAGGTTATGCAAATGATGTTTGATTTGCCATCATCTGAAGCTTTGACAGTAAAATCAAATCTCAACTTTTCCATAGTTATTCAATGTTAGCAGTAAATGTTGTTTTATAATAATATTACCACACTCTGATGAGTGAAATAAAGATAATGTGTTTTTCTGTAAAGACAAAAAATTTTATTACCCTTAACATTTTTACATGTTTTACACTTTTATCTTAATTGAATAAACATTTTACTTACCTGTAAAGACAAAAAAACAACATTTAAAGCCTTTATTTCAGGTATTTCTGTAACTGCTATTTAAATTTATAATTATCTAACTTTTACATTAACTTTCTTAATTATAAGTAAATGTCAAACATGACATCCATAGATTATAGATAAAAAATAAGAACTGTTAAGAAAAGCAATGACACTATGGTTTTCTTTACATACATTTTAAATAAGTAACCAAACCCTTACTATGTTATATGTTAATGGCTGATATTTTAGTTTAACTACTTTAATAAATGATCCTGTTATTTGATCCATTCAGTTACGTTTTTTTTTGGAAATCTCTGACTATTTGAAGTAATGTAATGTAACTTAATTAACGTTAGAATAATGTTTTTACAATGATTTATTAAATGTTAGTCTATTAATTAATTTGAGCATTTTGACTGATTCGTTTAGTGATTGTCAATTAGAAATTATTAAAAAACCGTTAAATAGATCACAGTAGTAGTTTTTTTTGTTTTTAGAAATTAAGAAGTCAATGACCGATTAAAATTTGTTCCTTAGTACGTTCCAAAAACAGCTGAATAAGGGTTATAAACACTCGTTATTTTCCTAAATCTTTGTAATTTAATATCTCCGAAACTATTTTACCTAGACATATAATTTTTTTTACATCATATTATAGACAAATAGTACTCTCCAGGAACCTCGGGAGTGTCGATCGTTCTGTTCCACCGTGTAAAGGTATACCATTAGTAAATGTACATGCCTTGACCAAATAATAAGTAACATTGTCAACGGGATTGGTTATTTATTGCCATTATGGTTATCAGATCACGATACTGCTCAGATTTTGTGTACATCGTAAAACTCAAACCCCACACTTTGTGTATACTTATCGTAAATGCTACTCAGTAGAAAATATCAATAAATTCAAGACATTTTTAAGTAGCATTTCGTTTTCAAATGTTTTTAATAAAAAAGATATAAATATTGCATTCAATGTATTCCACGAAATTTTTACTCTTTTGTACAATTTGTGTTTTCCAGTAGCAAAACATAAACGTAATTATTCCTTCAAGCTTAAATGGATCTCTAAAGGCCTAAAAATAAGTAGCATCAGAAAAAGGAAACTACGTTATAAATATTACACAAATAAAAATAGCAATAATAGATAGAGTTATAATAAATATAGTAAATTGTTAAAAAAATGTATTAGTTATTCCAAAAGGATATCAAATAAAAAAATTATTAGTAACAGTGACAATATCTGTAAAGCGACGTGGAAGGTTATTAGGAATGAAACTTCTGAAATATTGAACCATAATAGATATATAAATAAAATCATCCATAACAATACTGAAATAACGAATCTAACGACAATTGCATCAATATTTAATAATAATTTTATACATAATAATACAGTAAATATTAACCAAAAAAATTATTACTATTTTAATACAGTTTTGCAAAATAGTATATTTCTATCACCAGTAACTGCAAATGAAATAAGCAAAATTATTCTGACATTGAATAATTCACAGTCAGAAGGCTATGATTCCGTATGCATCAAAGTCTTAAAGCTGTGTAGAAATGCACTATGCAGTGTTTTAGCTTTTCTGATAAACCTGTCTCAACAAACAGGAAAATTTCCCGATAAATTGAAAATAGCAATTGTGAAACCGTTGTTTAAAAAGAGTGACGAATATGAAATATGCAATTATCGTCCAATAGCAATATTACCTGTCATATCTAAAATATTTAAAAAGGTCATGCATGAACAACTTACTAATTTCCTCACAAAATTTAAAATCATCAAGGACAACCAATACGGTTTCCAAAAAAATAAATCAATAACTCATGCAGCTTTTGACCTAGTTAATGAAGTTATGTTAAATGTAAATATGAAATACTATACAACAGTAATATTCCTCGATATGTCTAATGCTTTTGACTGTGTTTTTCATAAAGTACTATTAAAAAAACTGGAATGTTATGGATTAAGGGGTCCTGCATTAAACTGGTTGGATTCCTACTTATCTAACAGAATGCAATTCGTAGAGATACCACAGATTGACAAAAAAAATACAATTCAGCTTTACAGATCTAAACCAAAACATAATAAATGTGGCGTTCTTCAAGGCAGTGTTCTAGGCCCTTTGTTGTTTTTGCTGTACATAAGTGATTTACCTGACATTACAAAATTTAAGACGGTACTATTTGCTGATGATATTTCCATTATTGTTTCAACGAAAAGTACCTTAAAACAATACAAACTTGACATCACAAATACAATTACATCAATTATTAATTGGCTTCAGAATAACAATCTTAAGGTAAATTTAGCAAAAACTAATATAATTAATTTCAATAATTTTAAAAATCAATCAGTAGACGTATCTTTTAATGAACAAACTCTACAGAGTGCTCCAAATGTAAAATTTCTAGGCTTAAAAGTTGATCCTAAATTCAGTTGGAAAGAGCATATAGAAAAAGTGTGCAATAAAGTGAACTGCTTTTCCTTCGCGTTATATAAACTTACAAAAGTAGCAAGTGTAAATACGGCTATCATGGCCTATTTCGCATATGTAGAATCCATCTTAAGATATGGTTTATTAATTTGGGGAAAGGGCACTGATACTAAAATTATTCTTATTGCTCAAAAAAGATGCATTCGTGCTATATGCAATCTAAAGCCGGATATTTCTTGTAAGCCTTACTTTACAACTCTCCAAATTTTGACACTGCCCTGTCTTTATATTTTAGAGGTTTGCATATTTGTAAAATTATAGTAAAAAGTTTACACAAGCACAGGATTTGAGCCAAAGATTAAGAAGAAACCCGGAGAGACTAGTTTTGAAATTCGTCCCTAAAACTCAAAGATTTCAGAATAGCAGTTACGCCATGTGCCAAAAAATATATAACAAAATACCCAATAATTTCAAACTATTACCATCTAACCGATTCAAATCTACTTTACGTAAATGGTTATTGGAAATGGCATTTTATTCTATTGATGATTTTTTAAACCATGCTACTAGATAAATTAATAACCAAAGCTATATAAGTTAACACAAAGTTTAATTGCTATATGATTTGTATCTTTTTTATTGTTTTGACGCTATTAATTACGAAATTCTTTAACTTGACATTTATTATTGTGACATTTAATCTTCAAAATGAAAATGATTATGGTAATTTTAGTGAATTTGTTAATTTTGTATAAAAATTGTATTTAATTAATTTTGATCATAATTTGATTGTTTTTACCGGTAATGAAAAATTAATTATATTTAATATTTGCATGCTATCTTTGTATGGCTAAATAGGTTTTAAGTTCTAATTTTATTTTAATTAATTCCTATCAAATTGTACCCTATTTAAAGGCAAATAAATATCTATTCTATTTTATTCTATTCTATTCTTAAATCGTTTATTACTTTTAAATTTTATCTCAGTTTAGGGACTTCCGCACACTATAAAAGCCTTATACGCTCAGCCTTTTCTGAATTCAATTTCTAGTCGATTCAATGCGGGAATAGTTGATTCTTAGTAAAGTAACGTCCATTTATAATTAAGTTCAAGAATTAGGCCTTTTATAAGAACTTGATGTGCTGTAATGTGGTGGAGCTCTCTTAGTAATGTGTATGATATTAGCAGTTACTAATATTGGTTACAATGGTGATGTATATGACAGGTGGCAGGCGCCCGGCGGCGGGTCGGGGCAGGGGGGGGCGCGCGGTCGCGGCGCGATGCGCTGACGCCATGCGCCGCCCGACATGCCGCGCCGCGCCCAGCCACCCGCACTCGCGCTGCTGCTCGCCCTGCTGCTCGCCGGTACTGTCTACTATACACAACACCTTGTACTATGTATTGTACGCCTATACTGCACCGTTTACAAAACCAGACATTCCACTTGTCCGTAATAAAGTAGCTCCATATCTCTTAGTCCCTTAACAGACATTCGTGTCCGACTCATCACAGACCCGCCGCTTAGATGAAATGAAATCAAATAGAGAGAATAAGCCCAGTGTGGATTGGTGAGTGTTAACGACTGCAGATACAGTCGGGACCAATAACTAAACATGTCTTCCGAAACACGGGGGAGCTCGAAATAGTAAAATTTTTGCTCACCCATCCTAAGACTGATCCTTGCAAAACTTACTTAACCTCCGCGCCCCGTAAACGATAATAATAATAAATTATTTTCTCATCACACAGAACAGTCTTACGTGCTAGTTAGTTACAAACTCAGTTGTTCTTGCGATGCGGACCTAACCACAGCACCATGGAGCTCCTCGTCCCGATTCATGATAACTTCAAGTTTCTATTCACATCAGGGTGCGGCGGCAACCCGGACGCCAAGCGGCTGTACGACGATCTCCTCAGCAACTACAACAAGCTGGTGCGGCCTGTGCTCAACGTCAGCGACGCGCTCACCGTGCGTATCAAGCTCAAGCTGAGCCAGCTCATCGACGTGGTACGTATCACGTAATCCTTCTTCCTTCTTTCTGTTATTAAAAAAAATATTTCTCTTAACAAGTCTGGCACAGTAATTAATATAGACACACAACAGGCTTTACTTACAACATACTTTAATAAGTTATAATGTACCGATTACTGGTGGAAACAGTATTCTTAACATTCGGATCGCAAACAACCACGAACAATATTCTCGGATACCGTAAGTGCAGTGTGTCGCCACCTTTACGTATAATAAAATCAAGTGGAGGGTACATCTGAAAATCAGTTAAAAACATTATTACCGGATTACCCTCAACTAAAATCAGAAGACGACACCCGCCAGTTCTCCAGTCTCCTCGTGACCACGGCTGCTGTAACGTAGCCGAAACGTCGAGGTAAATTAATTGTTTAAAAAAATGCACGAACAAGACCCGATTGCATATAATTATAAAGTATTCTTAACATTGTTTTTTAAACTACACTTTGCCTAGAAGATAACAACAGCAATTCAAAAGGCTATTAATATTCTCTATAGCTATAAATAATATAAGGTTTAAAACCACCGATCTGATTCGAATTCATTTAGGTGTCCTAATTCGCTTCGAAAGCGACATCTCCTTAACTTTGAATTGATATTAACATTTCGTGGCATAAGTGAAGTGAATGACATGTATGAAATGAATCGTGTTTGTATTTTATATTAAAAATGGAATCAGAATTTCTACACTAATATAAGTTAAGCGGATTCTCATTCGATGTGAATTCAGACACCTGAGTGAATTCTAATTCGGATTCGGATTTTTACAGAATCGCTCTGCTTTACCTTTTTCACCATCCAAACGCCTAAGTTTAGTTATAAAATGTAACTTCGTGAAGTGAGAGTTTCCATTAAGCGTATGATAATGTATTGGCACAGCATAAAAAGGCGCAGAGTAACTGAACAAAAATGAATAACAAAAAGATTTGTAATATACAACCCATCATCAGCAGTTACATTGTCTACGTGCATATAGTATTTGAATTATAATATTTTTTTTAAATTATAAGTTATTGTTAAGTTTGTTTTTAAATTAATAAAAAAAAAACTTTACTATTCTTTTAATTGCCTCTTCAATTTTCGCTTTGGAATTACCATATCAAGTGTTAAATAATTCAGATTCTATCGGGATGACTTACTTATACTCTTATTTTTTATATCTTTGCTTAAGTTTTATCTTTTGCTTCAAATAATTTTATCACTGTTGCACTTAATCATACCGAATAATACGCCCTTCGTTACGCCCTAAAATTTCGGAACCATTGTCGATTGGTGGGTGCTAGCGATTGTAGACGCAATAGGGAAGGATCAACTAGTTAACCTGCCTTGAAGCTAAAGATAATATCTATGTATTTCTAATTATATTGAAACTACTTCTGTTAATGATCACTTATTTCTTATTGATTCCAGAATTTGAAAAATCAAATAATGACGACCAATTTATGGGTAGAACAGGTATAGTAAATAATAATAATAATAATGTGACATGGGTACGTATGAGACATACAATATAACTAACGGGTGAGATGTTGCAGAGTTGGTACGACTACAAACTGTCGTGGGAGCCGCGCGAGTACGGCGGTGTAGAGATGTTACACGTGCCCTCCGACCACATCTGGCGCCCTGACATCGTGCTCTATAACAAGTAATTATATGATCTCTTGTTCAACTTAATATTAATGAATATACTCGAACTAAAACTGGTGTGATATTTAAACAGTTTCTATAAAATTCAGCTTCTGTTTTTATATTGAATGAATTACATAAAATATGGATCAATTGTATACAGTGCGGATGGCAACTTCGAAGTAACATTGGCGACAAAAGCGACACTAAACTACACGGGGCGAGTAGAGTGGCGTCCGCCGGCTATCTACAAGTCCTCCTGCGAGATAGATGTCGAATACTTCCCTTTCGATCAACAAACTTGCGTCATGAAGTTTGGCTCCTGGACTTATGATGGATTTCAGGTAGCGTAAATGACGTGTCCTGCTTATCCAGATACTATATACTAACATTATAAACAAGAAAGATTTGATTGTCTGTCACGGGAAATCAGCTAGTAAATCTGTAAAAACATACCATAGATTTATGTAGTTAATCGGAACGCCCATTTTCTAAACAAATGCGAGTCGAACTTTAATTTATTGTTGTATGGGAGCTCACTAGAATATTTATTTTATTCAAATTTTTACACGATATTGGTTTCTTTATTAACATTTTTTACGATTTGTTGATATAGCAGCAACATAAAAACATCATCTGTTAAAATTTATACTGTCTAGCTATCATGATTCATGAGATACAGCCATGTGACAGACAGACGGCCGGAGAGTGGAGTTTTACCTTTTGGTCACAGAACCTTAAAAATATTACATTCTCGGTGACATAAAGACATTTCTCCCTCCTCTATTATCTATAAAACTCATTGCCTTGCGGTCATTGGATAACATTACTAAACTTGTTTTCTATATCAGGTGGATTTACGGCACATTGATGAAACTCGGGGCACTAATATAGTGGAGCTCGGCGTGGACCTTTCTGAATTCTACACTTCCGTTGAATGGGATATACTTGAGGTGCCTGCTGTAAGGTGCGTTGAAACTTCCTTCTCCAGTTAAGCCTTTAATTTGATTCTTAATGAAAAATATTTTAAAAATTCACTTGGTCCGTGGCACCCTGAGATGGGGATTGAGCCCATGACCTTTCGCAATCCAATCTACTGCTCTAACCACTCAGCTACCCAGGACCTAACAGGACTAACGTTACTGTTTCAGAAATGAAAAGTTTTACACATGTTGCGACGAGCCATACCTCGACATCACATTTAATATCACAATGCGCCGCAAAACGTTGTTCTACACTGTGAATTTGATCATACCGTGTATGGGCATCTCGTTCCTCACCGTGCTCGTGTTCTACTTGCCATCGGACAGCGGCGAGAAAGTGTCACTGTCTATCTCCATCCTGCTCTCGCTCACCGTGTTCTTCTTATTGTTAGCTGAGATCATCCCACCTACGTCGCTCGTGGTGCCTCTCTTGGGCAAGTTTGTACTGTTCACCATGATTCTCGATACTTTTAGGTGAGTTATCATTTTCCATTAAGATATTTTTGCATTTATAAAACGTTCGTTACAACGACGAGTTTCAACACCGAGATCCGATCAGTTAACCTTCAATGAATTAACATGATTAATGACATCTCGTTGCCATTCACTTCTTCAACTGGAGGTTTTTTACAAAATTTAACATATCAGCTTTTTATTTGAAGCTATATGAAAGTAAAACATTTATTATTACTAATTTTAATATTATTAGAAATTTAAGACTCAGTGGACCGAATTGAGACTCGACGGGGATGCTATCGAAAAATTTATAGTGTGGGGGGTCGGTCAATATTAAAATTTTATACATTGTGTTCGTGCAGCATATGCGTGACGGTGGTGGTGCTGAACGTGCACTTCAGGTCGCCGCAGACGCACACGATGGCGCCGTGGGTGCGCCGCGTGTTCATACACGTGCTGCCGCGGCTGCTCGTCATGCGCCGCCCTCACTTCCGCGTCGATCCTCACCGGAGTAGATTGTGAGCGAAGCTTTAAAACTCATTGCATAATATACATATTAATACACCAAAATATTTCATCTGTTTCGCCGAAACACTCTAAAGGGAGGAATTCACTAGAAAGGCATACCCGCGGGCAAGTCTGCAGCCGTGTCTTGCACGAGTCAGACATGCCCGCCCTATAGTAACGAGGTCCGGCAGACATGTCTGCAGACTCGCCCGGGGGCATGCCTGTCTAGTGAATTCCCCGCTTTATGAATCTCAATATACATAGCGCGGAGCTCGGGTTCGTCGCCAGCGGCATGATGGGGGAGCCCGCTCCGTGGGAGGAGTGCGGGTCAGAGGGCGGGGGCGCGGCGGGGGCGGGGGTGGGCGGCGGCGGCGGGGGCGGGGAGTGCGCGTGTCGGCTGCACGACGCGCCCTCGCTGTGCGACGCGCTCCGGCGCTGGCACCGCTGCCCGGAGTTGCACAAGGCGATCGACGGCATCAACTACATCGCCGACCAGACCAGGAAAGAGGAGGAGTCCACCAGGGTCAGTGCGGTTTCCCACCCACGCTCACAGTAGAACATCAGTTCGGACGCTGACGTAACGTAAATCATATTTTTCGATCGTTTGAAGGTCCGATCCTGGACCGAAATGTAAGGTCTTTAAATTTTATAATCACACTCGATAGACCATCTTTTTAAGAAAATAAATCTTGTATTTTTATTAATAGAGCTGACTTTGATCCGACATAAACGGTGAACGAAACTATCGGTATTCCACTGAAGCCGGCGACGATAACACACATAGTTTAAATAAAAAGCCGACAAAAGTAGAGACAAATAAAAAATATAGTATATCGGCCGAACTCATCGTATCGATTAGGTTAACGTGTAGGATTTTAAATAAAATTAATCGATATGTCCACCTAACTGGCCGTTTGTCGTGCAGGTGAAGGAGGACTGGAAGTACGTGGCGATGGTGCTGGACCGACTGTTCCTGTGGATCTTCACCCTGGCGGTGGTGGTGGGCTCGGCGGGCATCATCCTGCAGGCGCCGACGCTGTACGACGAGCGCGCGCCCATCGACGTGCGCCTCTCCGAGATCGCGTACGCCACCGCCAAGCCGCGCCCGCCGCCGCCGCGCTGAGCCTCACCGCGCCTCACCGCGATATGCCGTGCCGTTATTATACGATGTTGTAAATAATATACATATTATAGTTTATACGACGAGCGATGCTATTAAGAACGAGTCGAATTTCTTTTGATAGAGACGAAATAAACCGATCGTTTGTAACTGGTTTTTTATTCATTCCTCCTTTAACCCGTGACACGCATAACATCATGTATCGAATAAACTGAAGGCATCGATAAAATATCGGGGGCTCGGGGGATAATTCCTTTTCTGCTGTGACAGTCTAATTTGGTACCAAATAATAAAATATTGTTTTACATAGATTGCTGATCGAGGACAATTGGTAATTTGTGTTTAAAATTACTATTGTCTCTCAGATTATACCCACTCGATGGTTGCTAGACATGTACAAAAAGAAAATAACGAACTGATATGAATACGAATATATGGGGCCATCATTTAGGATCTATATGAGAAAAAAAAAAACAATCAGTGCCGAATTAAGCCAGGGCTATGGCAATTTTTTATTTTTTTTATTTTTTTAGACACCCCCCCCCCCCCTCCCCCACCCGAAACAAAAAGTCGCCATTAATCTGTGACTCGAATTTTATTTGTCTTTTTATGTTCATACTATTACAGTGCTACTTATAAACAAGGTTTAGCGTCAGAGTAAATTGAAGCTAAAATTGCAATTTTAGTATTAGTCCGTATTCATATTCATCATCATCAGCCCTTTTACGTCCCCACTGCAGGGGCTCAGGCCTTCCTTATGGATGGTTAAGGAGGATGGGCCATGACCCTCCACGCTGGCCCAATGCGGATTGGAGGGTATTAACGACTGCAAATGCAGCCGGGACCAACGGCTTAACGTGCCTTCCGAAGCACGGAGTAGCTCGAGATAATAATTTTTTGGTCACCCATCCCGTGACCGACCCTTGTGAAAGTTGCTTTACGACTACGATCACGGGCCGCGGCGCTAATCCACTACGCCACCGAGCTACTGTACACGTATTCATATTACACAGAGAATAAGCAAATCTACTACCTTCTAGGAGTCAATTGTAGTGTGTATGCATCGTATATACACACTTGCATTTCCACTCAATATATAAGGAACATATTTATGTAATAAAGAGGCATTATAACAGCAGCCGGTGTTTCAGTTAATAATCCGAAGCTCACTACAGTGCATGGCGACCCTGCCATCTAAGTTACAATTATAAAACCCTTACATAAAGCCGGCAAAACAAACTCAGTAGATAATTATAAGCCCATTGCCTTGATACCCATACTATCTTAAATATTTGAGAAAGCTATGCTGGTTAGGTTGAATAGCTTCATAGATAAACAAAACATTATTAATGTAAATCAACATGGCTTTCAAAAAGGTAAGTCCACGACATTGGCAATGTTTGGGCTGACAAATAAAATTATGACTTACATAGATAAATCGGAAAAAGTAACGACCATATTTTTTTTTTCTTTTTTGACATGAGTAAAGCATTCGATTATGTATCGTTAGATATCCTCCTGGCCAAAAAAAAAAATCTTAGAGGTCTTAGAGGAAAAGCTTATAACTGGCTGGAAACTTATCTCAAGGGAAGATTACAATACACGGAACTCTCAAATTTGGATGATTGTTTTAATGAAATTAATTATGAATCTAGTGAAAATATAAAGGAATTTGGTGTGCCACAAGGTAGTATTTTAGGCCCGTTTCTATTTCTCCTTTACATAAACGATCTACCTAAGGCCACTAAGCAATTTTGTTCGTTATTCGCAGACGATGTATCAGTGGTGGTATCAAATTCAAAGAAATCTATAGTTGAATACAACAATGAAATTAATAAAACAATGGAAGAAATAATCAACTGGTTAAAAGAAAATAATTTAAGAGTTAACATTAAAAAAAAAAACAAAATATATTTATTTTCATAATCAAAGAAATAATAAACGGCTTAATCTTGAAGTACATCATGAGGGACAAACGATTGGGGAAAGTAAAGATATAAAATTTTTAGTACTAATACTGGATAGTAACTGTACATGGAAGCCACACATACGGGAGTTGTGCAACAAACTCAGCAAACTATAAGCAAGGTGTATTCTAAATAACAACTATATAAATATATTTTTAATAAGCTTTGTATGTAACTCCGATAATTTATGATCAAATAAATATTATTATTATTATTATTATTATTATTATTATTATGAATTTGCGACTTGTAAACATTACCGACGAAAGAACTGCTCTTTTGGCGTACCATGGATATGTGGCTTCCATTCTAAGATATGGAGTCATAATCTGAGGTAATTCAGTAGATATCGATAGGGCGTTCATTGCTCAAAAACAATGTGTACGCTCCATATGTAAATTATCTGTAGAAATAAGTTGTAAACCATATTTTCAGACTTTGTGATTGTTAACATTACCATGTATTTATATCTATGAAGTATGTTGCTTTGTTAACAACAAACTCTTTAAACGAAACTGTGACGTGAACAATGAGTACAGGGGACGATATCCTGAACGACTAGTGTTACCCAGTATGTTTACAACAATGCAAAGCAACAGCTGTTATCCGATGGCTGTTAGAATTTATAATGGGTTGCCGAATTATATGAAAGATGCTTCACTCAATCTATTTAAAAAGAGCCTCATGATGCATAAATGTTACTACTCGGTCCATGAGTATTTGGCTGACAAAACACTATGATAATGAATGTTCCATGACATTGTTTGACATTGTATTTCTAATTGAATTTGTTATAATGGTGGTGACATAGTTTAATTTTTTTTTTCCTAAATAATAATTATTTTAATTGCCTGTATTTAAATTTAATAACTAAATTAATATTAATTAATATGATATTTGCATGCTAGTGTAATAGGTAAGTGAGCTGAACTGTAATTGTCTTTCCATCTTTTATAATACCTCATTTAATAGCAAATAAACGATTACTATTACTATTAAGGCAGTCAGCCGGCGTTCGGTCATGCGATTCGACGTCATAAAATAATTTATAAATCATTATAAAATATTTATAAAAATGTGTCGATCTACTGTAGAAAAAGACGAGGTGTTTCTGAACCAAAATGCTGTTGGATCGAATTCCCAGGACTATCATTTATCAAATATCAGCATTGTGCTAGTGCATATGCACTATGATAACTATTGCAGGATTATTTGGACTCTACATACTTTACAAAAAATGTCATCATGGCTGGATTCGGTATGAGTTATTGGCGCAGTCATTGAGGCGTTCGTTTCGACGACCGTCGTTGCTGCGAGCATCAACATCACCCCAGAACCAGTGCATGTGTGTCGGAAAAGCAATAGTGCATTAAAGAAAGTGCTATGCGTAAAATTTTACTTTGGTGGATATGTAATAAACAATTTTTTTTTTTTTTTTACCACTATCCACTGCCGCTAGCCGGAATATGTTCGGAACGTCACGTTTAGCTTTAGGTTTAAATCAAATCAAATCAAAATTTGTTTATTCAATTTAAGCTTTTACAGAGCACTTGTGAAAGTCGAAAACTACGCCATCGGTTCGCAAAACTACGGCGGGAGACCTTGTACTGAGAAGAACCGGCAAGAAACTCAGCAAGGGCTATTTTTTTCTCCCTGTTTTATTTCACACAGAGAAGTCTTATTGAAAAGTGACTTCATTAGAATATGAAGTCACTTTCCATTACAATATTAGAAAGTAAATACAACAAAGTTAAAATATCTAACACCATGCCTTTTTGTCATTTAGATATTCCTTAACGGTATAATACCCTTTACTTTGTAGACAACTTTTTATATGACTTTTAAAATGATTTATTGGCAAATCTAATACATCACTGGGGATCTTGTTAAAGTATTGTATACCTTGACCCATGAAAGAATCAATACCTTCTGTAACCTGTAAGAAGGCACTACTAGCTTGTTTTTATTTCTAGTATTAAGTTTGTGTA